CAAGTATGTCCAGCAATCCGGCGGATGCAACAGTTGTGGTATGGGTGCGGATACTTTCTATGGTTCTTGGAGCCCCTTTCTGAAGGATCTTTGAGACGATACTCCCCATTCCATTTATTGGTCGCCCATCCCGTAGGTAATTCCGATCCTGTGACCATATGGACATCTTTCACATTCGGGCACTCTGGGCGCCATACATATTCATAGGTCAAGGAAATGTGCCCAGTGCAGGAGAATGTCGATTGGTTTGTTTGGGTTTTGGATTGGCTATCAGCCGGCTGATGTTGCCGTTGCCCCCGGGATCCGTGATGCGTGCCTTATATCCAATGCGATTCGAAACCTGTTGTGTCGATGCTTGGGCCACTTGTCTGGCGATTGAGATTTGGGCATCTAGAGCCGCATTCCTGCTGATTCTGCACGCGGGTTTCGTGATATGTACACCCCAAAGCCTTCGTGCAGAGGTAGCACCTTACATCAAGGGTTGAGGAGGTAGCCTTTGTAGTACTTCGGCATTTGTCCTGACATGGGCCGTAGGGGTTTGGCGCAAAAAGGTTGAGATTCAGGGCAGAAGACTAGCTCTCTGATTCGAGGCAGCGACTCGAGGCCTTTGTGGAGAGGAGGGGTGGCGTGCAGAAGCAGTGAGGACGTAGGACATCTTTCTAGTTATTTCGGTGCAAGTGGCAAGCTGCCGAGTAGAAGTCAGCTCCCAGTAGCTCGCTTTGCGCCATGGGGAACTTGCTTGGTGGCAATCGCCACTTCGAGGGCGTGGTGGCAGGCACCAAGTGCAGCAAGCTTCGGGGTTGAGGTTTGCTTCGGCTGGGCGAAGATGGATTTTCAGGCTCTCCTTTTTAAGGTGGTGTCAGGACCGAAGCAGCAGCTACCAAGTCATTCCCTGGTTGTCTCGTGTCTCGTTCTCCTGCTGCCCACAAAGGCTCGACAGAGAACTCCTGAATGGCTTCCTCTTCGAAGATCAAGCACAGCACACCTACACCCCAACCCCCAACCACTGGACTTTGAATCGGATTGTTACCTTCGAGATCCAAGCTTGCTGTGAAGCTCAAAGCCCTTGAAGAGGAGTTTCAGACCCGAAGGTCAGAACTCTGCAACCATACGCTCGCCGCCCAGGATTGCCGAGCATGGCTGGGAAGGTGGTCGCTGTAACAGGCTGCACCTCAGGCACCGGCAAGATCTTTGCAAAGGCGAGCTCCAGCGAAATCGTTGAACCACGAAACCGCAAATCATGAAATCCTCAGACCTGGCTCTAAATACTGTGGGAACCTTCGAGATCTTGCGGCACAAGCATGCTTTCGTAATGGCAATGGTACTCCTCTGTTGCCCTATACAGTTCTCCTTTGTATGATTGCAGCAGCCGAGCTTGCTCAAGCTATCATGATTTTGGCGGTCTGTTTCATTGCTTGCCCAGGCCAACATAGAAGACCTGGTCATCAATGCCTCCTCTCGCCAAGCCACCACCCTAAACCTTAAGCCTCAAACCCTCAGCAAAGCACGAGGTCCTGAAGCCTGCATCCTAAAACAGAAACCCTCAAATCCTTTTGTACTTAGGGCTGGGTGGTCACCTGTTTGTAAAACCCGTGAAGAAGCAAACGACGTGTTTTGCTCGTTGCTGAAGCTCCCGCTGCTTGAATGAATGCCTGCTTTGTCGGGTTGCAGTTGCCCTGTTATCCTACATCCGGTTGGGGTAGAGGGCCCGTTTACCCTTTTTTCCTTGCATAGTACCAGTAGAGTGTTCACCCTAGATCTTAAGCCCCTAAGGCAAAAGCCAGAAAGTTGGAACATCATTACCGTACCCCCTTTAAGGTAAATTATAGGGGATCCTACCATTAATCCATATTCCAACTTTCTGGAGTTCCCTTTACTTGGCCGGAAGGTGTGTGCCGAGAAAGGCGCCAAGGTTGTTCTTCTGAACCGGGAGTCTGAGCGCGCCACGCAAGCTTTGAAGGACGCATGTATTAGGGTTTAGGGTTTAGGAAATGTATGCTGTAGAGTCTGAGGGGGGTTCGGGATTTGTGTGTAATGGGTTGCATTCGTTTGTAATTGTAGTCTTATATAGTTTTACTACAGTCTAGCCCGAAACATTTGTTCATCATGCAGGCCCCTGCACATAGATTTCATGTTTAGCCTGGCAAACCCTACGACTTCTTAGCCCGAGAGCCTGTGTTGCTTGCACTTGCCAGGGTTGCGAGCTGAATTACTGCATGTAGTGAAGTAATAAGAGTTTGACATCTCCAATCTCGAATTTGGCAGGACATCAGTGAAGCAGCGAAGGCCGCGGGCGCACCAGAGCCTTCGGGCATCCCATGTGATCTCATGAGCTTCAAGAGCGTGCGTGCTGCCGGCGAGAAGTTGCAGGCGGAAGACTGCCGATGGACGTTTACAAAGGGATCGTAGCCCAACTCCGAAATCCGAAGTCTTCAGACCTTTATGCACAGGTGGAGCTTCGAGAGAGTGGACTCGATGTCCTGTGTAACAACGCCGGCATCATGGGCTTCGGCGACAAGGCAACAGAGGACAGGTTGGTTGGGGTTTGGTTTCTCTAAGCGGCTCGCTTTGTCGTCCTGCCATGATAAAAAAATAATTACTGGGACTTGATGGTGTTCTGTCATCTATGCGCTTTACCAGTATCGATGCTAGCTCTTTGCGGCTTTCTGACCAAGAATCGAGATCTGCTGGTAGATGTGGCCTCATGTTTCGCGGTCGTGCAGCACCGCAGCATGCCGCTTTTCGGGAGTTGTCAAAATTCACGGAGTACGATTGAGTCATTCTCCGGCGTGTTTGCCTGGTGGGCAATAAAAGAGTCACATGATGTTATGCTTTTGAGGTTGTTGCAAATGTGAGAGGACGGCTGCGACATCCAGATGCAGACAAACCATCTGTCCCACTTCCTCTTGACCTATTTCTGCATGCCCTTGCTTGACAAGGCTGGTGACCTCAAGCCCCGAGCTTCCAGTTCCTAGACCGATAACCCTTCGGTACTGTAAGGAATATACTTCTGAATCAGAACTAGATACGAAAAGCCATATACGGTCTGTGTCTGTGTGTGGTCGATTGGTTGCTTCGTTGGTTGCTTGGTTGCTTGGTTGCTTGCTGGCTTGCTGGCTTGCTGGCTTGCTTGCTTGAGTGGTTGGCTGGCTGGCTGGTTGGTTGGTTGGTTGGTTTTCTTGATTGGTTGCTTGGTCGCGCGCGCGTGTGTGTGTGTGTGTGTGGTGTGTGTGTCTGTGTGTGTGTGTGTGTGTGTGTGTTTGCGTTTGCGTAGTTGTACTCATCATTACCTGGTATTTATTCTACTGCTTTCTGCGCTCATGAAAGCCTGCAGGCTCGTGTAGATTTTTCGGGTCTCCGCTTCTCTCTGTTTTGGGGCTGATGCTGTGGAGCTGTGGCTGCGCTCCAAGAGCGGCGTAGTGCAGCGGGTCATAACGACCGTGATTGCTGATTACACTCCCTAGACTCCCAGGCAGCATCTGTTGCAAAGTCATATTTGTCGTCGGACTTGCGAGTCTTCAAGCCCGTAACTCAAACCATCGCCATCTCGGATCTTTGCTCTAAATGAGCCAGATGGATTTGCTCGACAGGAACGAATTCCTGCCAGCGCGAATCGCGGCAATGCGGGGGTTGGGACAGACGGAAAATGTATTGAGCCTGTAAGTCTTAGGCCTTCAAGCACCGCACTAAACCATCCTACACCCCAGTCTAGGGAGGTTTCGGGTTTGGGGTGATGCTTTCCGGGTCCCGCAGCAAGTCTTTCAGCAGGCGGCGTCTTTGCGCGGAGAGGCGCGCGTGGTGAACCACTCGAGTTGTGCGCGAGTGATGACTGGCCCGGAGTTTACGAACACGTTGGAAGAGATTCTTGTCAAGCCACAAACCTTCAGATAAAATCATGTAAAATCCAGTTGCACGTAAGCTGGCCAGTGGGAGCTTGTCATTTGTCATCTTCATAGCATCGCAGGTGTGGTGACTTATCGTGCCTGCGCTAACTTAAAGCTTTAGACGCGGATGGTGAGTAAGGAAGTACATGCAGAAGAACGGCGGAAACTTGGGTGGAGACAGCGACCAGGTGATGAAGGGTGCGAACTTCGTGCGGTACCAGCAGACGAAGCTTGCAAACGTGGCTTTCACCTATGCTCTGCACAAGCGCTTGCAGGAGGCAGGCTCCAAGGTCAAGGCCCTTGTGGCCCATCCCGGGGTTGCTCCCACCCAGCTGGCTCAGGGCACCATGAAAGCTGGTGGCGCAAACGATCTTGCACGCTATCCGCAGTGGGTCAGCAACGTCTTCTTCAAGGTGATGCGGCCTGGAGTTTGAAAGAACGCTTTTTGCTCCATGAAGGTACGTTGCATTCAAAAGTAACGCGTGCGGCCCGACCAATCATCGCAGGTCGACACAAACACCGCCATAGATTGGACCTACTGCTGATTGAACACACCGGTAACCTTCCAGATTCCTAAGCCCGAAGCAATTCAAACTGACAGGTAAAACCCTAAACCACCAAGCCAAGGTACCAGTCAGAGGCCGATGGCACGGTTGGAATCCTTCGCAACTCTTGTGACCCTGCGGCAAACTCGGGCGACTTCTTCGGCCCGTTGGGCAAAGGCCTCAAGCTCGAGACTCTAAGGGTTTAGGGTTTGGGGTTATAGGGTTTCTGGTTTTGTTTTAGGGTTGGGAGTTTTAGGATTTCTGGTTTTGTTTTAGGGTTGGGGGTTTTAGGGTTTCTAGTTTTGTTTTAGGGTTGGGGGTTTTAGGGTTTCTGGTTTTGTTTTAGGGTTGGGGGTTTTAGGGTTTCTGGTTTTGTTTTAGGGTTGGGGGTTTTAGGGTTTCTAGTTTTGTTTTAGGGTTGGGGGTTTTAGGGTTTCTAGTTTTGTTTTAGGGTTGGGGGTTTTAGGGTTTCTGGTTTTGTTTTAGGGTTTGGGGTTATAGGGTTTCTAGTTTTGTTTTAGGGTTGGGGGTTTTAGGGTTTCTGGTTTTGTTTTAGGGTTGCGGGTTTTAGGGTTTCTGGTTTTGTTTTAGGGTTGGGGGTTTTAGGGTTTCGGTTTTGGTTTGGGGCTTGTTCTAGGGCTGGGGGTTTAGGTACTCTGACTCTCTTAGGATGTTTGGATTGAGCAGATGAGGTCATTTTAGGATGTTGAACTCAACAAGGGCATTTGAATGTTGAAGCCAAGTCCATGTAGGATTGGGGGAGAATATCGGGTCTCAGAATCAAGTCTAAGATGAAACGAGGGAAGTGAAGCCACGGACCATAACAGCTTGAACCGGAAAATGCAAAAGGCCCACCACAGAAGGGAGTCCACAGACAATCACCTTTTTGGCAAAGGTGGAGCCACTGGAGCTTTCGATACCAGTGAGTTCAAGGGCCCTGTTGGATTGCTGAAGCACCTCGGCCATTTCTACGACTTATGGAAAAACAAGGCCGAAAAGCGATTAGCCGTAATAGACTCCGACAGCGTCGTCTACAGATGCCTCGCCTGGTATCGAAGAGGGTGAGTCAAAATTGCCCCTAACATAGGGTTCACACCCGTTCAGTCAGAGAGAGAGAGAGAGGGAAAGGCGGCTTTGGGTTTCAGGTTCCAGATTCCGGAGCTGCAGAATCAATGTTGCTTTGCTAGAGAACCGCCTACTTTGGCCGACAAGGAAGGAACCCTTCGCCGATGAGGAGGCTCAAGAGCTGCTTTGGAAGACGAGCGAGGCATTTGCATGAGGAAATGTTCCGCTCTGTTTTGTTGTTTGCGTGTTTTTTGTTTGGATTTGGCCGGTGGGTTTGGGATATCGGACTCCATATATGGGGTGTGAGGGACTCGGGCTTCGGGCATTCTCTGCGTTTGATGACGTGGCTGTGCGGGTGGAAAGGATTAGTTTGGCCATCTTAAGAGTCGGGTTTAGGTTCACTTCATCAATTTGGCGTCTAACTTGCTAAGGTAGAATATGAATGCTAGCAGCTTATTTCCGACACATCGTGAAGTCGGCTGTGTATATTCGGCTTTCGTCTCACACTTGGGGTGCTGGACCTGCTGCTTCACACCAAGAGCGCTCTTTGCACTACCCGTGCTCTAGACCCCTAACCCTTAAATCCTAACCCTAAACCGACTGACGTCCCAAACCCTTGCCCATAAGATATCGAAAACAGGCCGTGACGGGTGTCAAGTTCGATGTGAAAGAGCGCGGACAAGCCTGCTGCTTGGGTCGCAGATGGGCTTTGGCTAGTGAAATTGTAAGCTTCTGAGCTTGAGGCGTCGACAGACTGCAGGTTTCGTGGCTGAATCACGGTTTATCGGTTTTAGGGAACAGTTGGTTTCTTCGGGGCTTTGTGGTTCAGGTGCTTGGCCCTTGGTTTATGTCAGGCTGAAAGACGGAGTGCAATGTCTGGCGAAGGTCGTTCAGGCTTAGGACGTGGGCCCGTCTGCCTGAAAAAGTAAAGGCAATATCTCCTCCAGTCTCGGCACTCGAATAATTATCCCAACATTTAATTCAAGTTTTCAGGTTTCAATAATTAGGGCTAAGAGGGCTCAGCCAAGATGACTGGGCAAAAAGGCTTACTGTAGAGGGTCTTCGTTCTTCGGCCCACCATGCACGATTGAACTCAAACAGCCCTGAACCCTACCAAACCCGAAACCTTGAACGGAAAGCCTGCCATACCTAACGCCTTGCAACACCGCCTGCAGAGAGCCGTCATTTCGCCCCTTGCACGGCCAAGAGAAGCTCAGGCTTGGCTTAGGTGAAGATCTGCGACGAGGTCCTGACAACTCGGAGCCGAACACAGAACCTGTGAGATCCAGGTTTAGGTCTTAGGCTGGGGGTTTCGAGGTTTATCGTGTGGCTAAATTATGAGATGGGATGTTGAGCTGTTCAGGCTCCTGATGTTGCCTAAGCCCTTCCTGGCTTCAGGAGAGGCCACCCGATTTCAGAGACCTGAGGGGTGAGGCAAGGTTTAGGCTCACTGGGTGTTTCAGGGTTACAAGGTTTAGGGTGCTTTCGAATCCCCTTTTGCATTGCCCGAAGGGCAACGACCGTGCTTCTGCAAATTTTCGCTTGCCTCAGAGGAACGCAATTTTCGCTTGCCTCCGTTTTCACCCGGAAGCTATGGCTTCGCGGTTTAAAACTCGTGCAGATCGCCAGAAGCGATTCTCGACCATCAAAAAAGCTGTTCCTGTGCCGCTGCAACCGCAAGCCTAAACCGTAATTTGCAGCCTTGACACCTCAAGCCGGGACTGGAAGCCAGCTTCTTCTCCAGACCAGACCCGCAGCCCCAACCCTCAATGCTAAAGCTATGCATGCATCACTGGAACTCCCAAACCTGGAATCTCAAATACGCATGCCTTGATCCTTAAAATTCCCCAAGCCCGCCGCTCTTGGCCGAAAGCATCTTTCGGCCCTTGACCGAACTTCTTGTGTAATTTGTAGGTGCTGTACAAGCAGACTTTGTGTTGGGAGCATAGCAGCATAGCAGTGCCAAGAGTACAAGAAGCCTTGCAAGGGAAGAGTGCTGGCTGTTTCGCCGATAGCCTCGCAAGGACTTGAAACTATAAGCCCTCAAACCTCAGGCGTAAAGTTAGGGTGTTATGGGCAGCCCCCCTGAAGCCGTTTGCGATGCACGAGAAGTAACCTCTGGCGCCTTCCTTCTTCGCACTGACCCGTCGACTTGTCCCAATGTCAGGACGCTCCTTCTGATACCGGTCTCATAAGCCACAGAACCGCCCAAACCCTGCAGTTCTAAATCAAACTAGCCCCAAACCACCCATGGCCCCAAATCCCATGAAATAACAGGTTACAACACCTAAAGCGCGGGGTATATCCTTAGTAGCTGAGTGGATACACTTTACACTTTTTGGGAGAATATTACGCACGATAAATCTGAAAGTGTACACTTTTTGGGGCTGATGAACTCAGCAACTAAGTATCCCTTATAGGTAGTACTTGTAGGTAATTAGTCCGAGCCACGGGTAAGCGCTTTAAAAGCCAAACGTCAATGCTAAGGCTGACCTTTTGGCTCACCGCGAAGATTGCCAGTGGCATGGTCTTCATCCTTGTGGCCACCCGGCTTTTGAATGCAGACCCCTATCGCTTTCCTTACTCCATACAGCACATGCTGTGGCCCCAATTATGCTGCAGAAGAGCTCTAAGGCCGTAAACGCGAAACCCGTAAAGGCTAAGTATTGCGTTGGGGTTCAGATTTCAGGTTTTAAAGTCCCCGGAGAGTTTAGACTTTGCTTATCCGTGTTGAGCGCATAGCGCTCGACATTTGTAGACCGCCATTGCGGGTGGAGCTTGTGCTGCTTGGTAGAGATTAACAGAACCGTGAGCACACACGCAGTCACACACACACACACACAATCGATGGATCCATCAATCGATCTCTCTCTCTCTCTCTCTCTCTTTCTCACACTCTTTGCACATACGTGTGTATGTGTCTCGACCCACAAGCTGAACAGTCAGGGTGCTTGCGGCTGTGTATCCAAGCCGGTACACTGTAGCTGCGGCCCCTTCTGGGCATTTACATACATACATGACATGGCACCGCAAGACATTATTGCATAATGGTACCATGAACCGTTGGTGCAAAAGCAGCTAGTGAGGGTTCGAGAGCGGCCTGAAGTTGCCCGACAGTAAGCTATTACAAACCCTGTCATGTTCGAGGATAGAGTTGGCTGGAGCTTCTGGCAGGGCGGGTTCTTAAACTTACCGAGGAGAAGAATGTATCACATGTCGGGTCTCATGTATGTGAGCTACTTGTTCCTGACGACCCAGTCAAACACTACGATCGGATGTGAGTATTTTTGCTGTGGATTCTGACGCGAAATCAGTTGGATTTGGGTATAGGTGCCGGCATAGTTGCAACCTTAATCCTAAACCCTTTGAGGTGAACCATTACTTGGCCATTTTCTTCATGGCCATCGGACTGCAAGGCGGGCACCGAACATGGGTTCAGGTCGTGATTCTCGAAAGCCTTTGAAATAAACCGCCTACCCGAATCATTCAGCACCAAGATTTCAGACTCAACAGCCGCCCTGCATGTCCTTCAGAAAGACCCAGCCGCTTGAAAAGCAAGCCTGTCCACGTCAGAATGTAAAATGTGTCTCCATGGTCCCGTTCCGCATGGTTTCCGTGCTTTTACGTGGACGTTCACCTCAGAGTTGACTGACCCCTGAGACCTGTTTTGTGAGCTGTCCCACAGCTTTGCGCGTATTTTGCAACCCACTAACAATACATTTTTGCTTGTTCGACATGAAGCACGTGGAAACTGCAAGTCACAGAGACCGAGCCATCAAGTCCCAGGCTCACCCCCAACCTCTTTGAAGGAAATGTTTCATGCGTGACATAGCCACACGTTCATCATGGGGTATGTGACTAGATTAGATCGTTTCCAATTTACGTGCTCTCTAAGCCGCCTGGCTTGAGCGACTACTGCAAGTACATGTTGGTGTTGTATTGAAGTATGGATGATAGTGTGAGCCAGGCCTCGCAAAGCTTTTCCTTATGCTGCATGCCTAAGGCCTGAGCTAACTCCGGAACACCGGAGAACTGAAGTCTTTCTAGGACTAAGACGGCATGCTGGCTTTTTGAGTTTGTGGCAAGCGTTGAGGAGCTCTTTCGAGAAGCCAAGCCCCGAACACCTGGCATTCTACACCAACTTATGACCAAGCGGTGACCTAGTTTGAGATTCAACCCCACAAGGCAAGCAAGATGGCGTGCGAAGCTGGCTAATAGCGTATGAGGTGGAGGACTGGCCTGTGCAAAGAAGCGTAGCATCAGTGTAAGAGTGTGTATTTTGTTATACATGAATCTGGAAAAGTACCGTTTGTGTGGTTTCCTCGAGCTTGGGAGTGCTTTGTGGTCTGGAAGATTCCCGGCATTGTGAGATTCATGGTCGCTCTAGCTGTTGTTTGGGTATGATCGCTTCTCATAACCACAGGAATCCTACTAGCCGCTAGCCGCTAGCCTGCATGTTTGCGTGCCACTTTTTCAGCATTTCTCCGTGCGTGAGATTCATCAAAAGGCCCAGGTGTTACTTCTTTGGCTGCCATGGCCTCCCGATAGTTTCCTTACGTTCAAGGCTCAGGATGAGGGGCCTTTGTCCGGACGAAAAAGTACGCAGGCTAAGCGCACGGCCGTTACCGAAGCTTCCTTGCAAGTCACTTGGTGTTCAGCGTGCTGACTAGTCTGAGCCTCGCAGACTGTCGTAGGACACAGACTTCTGGGACATTTACGCCCCTTGGAAGATTGCAAAAAGTTGACCTTGTGGGAATACGGGCCTGTGGATCTTATGCATTGTAGGTGTATGCATCTCCCTCTGCGTGTTAGGCCTGCTCGTCCTTGAACGCCTAGGGGTCGGGTTATCCGTGCTACCGAGGCCATCTCCTTGCATTGGAGCCTGACCCAGTTCACACCGGCGACGAACAACATTGGCCCGGTGAACTCTCTGGAAAGATTGCAGCTCGGCAGGGACCCGAAAGCAGTGGGCTTTGGTGTTTGGGCTTTGATGCTTGCACAGGCTACAAGTGTGGTAGAGTCGGGTAGAGGAGATTCAAGAATTCGAAAGATGATTTCGCTGTCATCTCTGACATACCTCTCATCTCAACGACTTGGGACCTCGGTGTCAAAGTCTTCCTTTGGCTGAACTTGGGCTTTGGGCGCTGGCGAAGACAGGCAAAACTGCGGAAGATCCGCGGCAATGAACACTAGGAACACCATGATGGGTTTCAGGACCGGGACTGACACCCTGGAAGCCAAATCCTGTTGCTTGAACAGAAGAGGATTTAGAACTTGAAGCACCCTGAATACATACGCTCGAGGCACAATCTGCAAGAGGACAGAAGCCCTCCTTTGCCTAAACTTAAACTAAACTCTGAACCCCAAACCTCAAACCCTAGGCTAAACCCCCAAAACCCCCAACCTACACCCTAAACTTTATTCCGAGGTTTGCCATTTGCGTGGTGCTCGTCGCCCTGGCTCTTTTCTCGTCCTTCCTCAGCTCGATCACGAACGCAGCGGCCTGGTGACGTTTGGGAAGACTCTAAACCTGGAGGCTTCAAGAAGAGGTAGTTATGGCATAGGGTAAATGATATCGTACAAGATTGCGCGGTCCAGTAGTTTAGGGCGCCGTTCAGCGCCGCTCAACCCAACCCCACCAGAAGCCTAGCAATCCAAGATCGTCCGAACAAATCCCCAAATCCTCTCCGTTGTTCATTCCGTTGTTCATTGTAAGCGCCAAGTGCATGCTTGCCGGCATGGAGGAGGCCCACGGGGTATGTAGAATTAAACCCATAACTTTCCATGAACAAGAACCTACACCTCAAGTTCAAGACCCCACTTGCATCTGGGATTCGGACATAGTGGCCATGGTTGGGCTCCCATCATTAACCAGCAAGAAGGGTAACCTCCAACACGTTCTGCAAGCCCGGTCCAGTTAAACCAGTTAAACCTCGAGTGTTTGGGGTTTAAGTCGGGGTACATCTCGAAGGTCACTGCGCTCCGTGCGGTACGTCTCGACTACGAAACCCGGGAGGCCGGCAAACAAATCGGAGTCCATGCGGTACCCTAGGGGTCCCTTTGTTTCATATGCATGTATACCTAGCTGCTGTTCGGTTCCATCGAAGCTCCGCTGCCTTTGGGGTGTGTGCGTTTACTTGTTTGATGACATGTACACTTCTCCTAAATTTTTGCACTGAGCACGGAAAGACGGACTCTTCTCACTGCCCACCGTCATCGGGGCTTAGAGATTAAGGTGAAGGACAGCAGAAGCCAATGAAGTGTTCTTGCAAGTCATCAGTTGACTTCGGACATTAGGATGTAGGTTGTAGTCCTCACATGTCCCTGAGCTTAAGAAGCATGGGGCCTCAGGCGGTTGGCACTTCGGTTGGGATCTTGACCTCTTCCCTCATCAATGAAATTAGACAGCTGAGGCGGTGAAGACTGAAGGTTTGGTTCTTAAGTGACGAGGGTTGGGGGCAGAAGGGTCTGCCGTTCCTGGCCAAATCCGACGGCCCTCTCAAACCCTGGTCCTCCCTTCTGGCAAGCATCTTGCGCTGATGCTTCAGGCGTGCTTCCGCTCTCAATCTAGCTCCGATATTCTGTTGGCCTATGCTGTGGTCAAGATCTTATAGTCGGGTGTGGATCAAGGATCCTTGATTGTTGTGCTGTTGGAGCATGTCTTCGTCTTGCGATGCATGCGACTGTCGGAAGAAACGGATTTCTGATAAGAGGGAGCTACGTTGTGATTCGAATACAAAGATGAACAGGGGTCGAAGAGGGTTGTTAGGCAAGAAACCGCATCTTTCGACATTGACAACCACTCCAGACTCCGTGTGGAAGTGACTTGAACAGCCTCTCCTCAGCCGGAGTTTCGCCCTCAAGATAATAGAGGGGCCTAAACATTTAAAATAGGGTTTTGGCTTTGGGGTGTAGCGGACTGAACGTCGGGGCGAGCACAGAGAATCAGGGTGACAGGTGCACCCTCTTGAGCAGGAACTACATTAAGTACCCCCCCCCAAAAAAAGTATTGGTAATTTCTTAGGCTTCTGCGTTACCCTGGCCCCAGGCTCAGATTCGCCAGTTTTTCAACGAGCGAAATCTGCCTGCATCCTTGCTGGCACAGGTCAAAGTGCCTTCGGCTTATACGGTGGGTCTAATTGCTTAGGTTTTCGGGTTTTTTCTTCGAGGGCTACGCCACGCCCTGCCAACATTCCCGAAGTCAACTCTACAAGACTCTACAAGCCCTCATTAGAGCATGAGAGGGCTTGGAATTGAGAATGTAGGATCTACTCAGAGTACCGCGGGTTTTTTTTTTTGGAGGGAAGATTCCACCCCAGGCATGATTTTTGCAACTCTAAGGTGTCCTTTTCCTATCAACCCAGTGTCACGAGCATAGTAGCACATTTGCTAAATAAGAAGAGGCTTTTCGGCAGCACGAAAGGCCCGACCTGGTTATGTTGGCTGATCTATAGGGCCCCAAGGTTTCTTTCTGGAAGGCTTTTCAGGCTTGACTTTTGATGGCCTTGGTACCTGCTATGACTTGGCTTCGGGTGTCGTGGAACAGTCTTGAAGGTTTCGGTTTTCCGCCGGGGTTAACTAGCCTTCAGGAGTATAGGGGGACTGAAGATTCGGACGCATCTAAGAATCGACGAGAACAGGCATAGGTGGAGGTTTCTTCATGACCAACAGTGGACCAACAGCGTTAAGCTGGCCCTGGGTTGATTGTTTGTACTAATAGCAAGTCGACCGTGGTCCAGGCATTCATGCGCATGCGCAGCAGTGCGATTCGCCGCGTGCTGGAGAAGGACGTGAAGTTGCTCAGAGTGCCATAGCAGGCTTTCGTTGCAACGATACCACGTCTATGGAGTCAGTAAACCGTAAAGCCTAAACCCCTGAATCCCCAGAGCCAACCCTCCCTCCAAATCCTGAAGCCTTCTCCCCTCATAGCCTCCGAACTTCAGCTCAACACTCGTCCAAGAAAGGTTGCTTGCAGAACTGCCAGATGCCCTGAAGAAGAAGCCGCTCCGTCTCGGGGTCGTTCGTGGTGTTTAGGGTTTTCAGATGCTGAGGATTTATGGTTAGGAGGCTGCTCTTTCGTAGTGCGCAATCTCGAGGGTGTACGGTTAGATCTAGGTGGAAGCAGGGATTGTATTGTATTGTAGTGTAGCCTGAAGACTCTAAACAATGATTTGTACGGTTTTGCGGAGGTTAGGGAAACTAGCTCCGTACCAACAGTACCTTGCACCATTTCGATGTTGTATCTGCTTCTATTCTTACACTGAACCCTGGGAAAGAGCATGATCTTGCCAGACCCTTTCTTCATCTCGGCTTCGGCATGAAAAAGGCTGCTCTTTAGGCAGGTCATACGAGGCCTGAAACCCAGAACTTCCAAACCAAAGAGCACCCTGCAGCTGAAGGCCCACATTGGAGCTTAGCTCCATCAACCTCTACCTTCAGCATTCATCCTTCATCTTGGAGAAAACTTGGATCTTCTTGGTGGTACTTATTCGAGTGAACGGTGGCTTAGGGTAGGTACCTTCCAGGCAATCTGATGTTGAATCGCTTTCGACTCAACCGCAATTGGAAACATCGACCTCCCCATCTCAAAGAAAAACCAAACACGCAGAACATCTTGAATACCTCTTTCCATGACGAAAAGAGCTGAAATCATTTTACTATTGATATACTATTTCGACTTGGAGCTGTGCGATCTGGAAGGTTTGAGGGTTAGGTTCAGGGCAAACCCTGCAGCTATGTCCAGCAGCACCCAAGCTTGCGCAAATTCTGAGCAAGAATCCCGGCAACTGCCCGGACCTAAACCATGAAGCCATCCTATCACCTAAGTCCATGGCTTCCCAAACTCTGAAAAAATCATCTTTTCAGCTGGCCAACCCTCCTCAACACCTCAAAAGCAGAAAAGCTCCTAGGCTCCATGCGGAGATGTTCTTGTCGCCCATCTCGGCACTACCCTGGATGCCGGTGGCTAGTCGGCCAGTCCCGGTGTGTGTTTTTTTTGGGGGAGTTGTGGTTCGGGAGTTCAGGATGCGGGGTTCCGCTTTAGGATTTGCAGGGAGAGAGAGAGAGAGAGAGAGAGGATTTGTAATAAGTGCTTTGCTTCAAGATTCAAGAGATCCTCTCTTGGTCTTCGAGGGAGATTGCGATCGAAGCCCATAGCCAGGAGCCTCCATCTCGGAAGTTGCCAAGTGACACTCAGCCCGGGTTGATCCGAGGTTTTTTGGGTTTGTGGCCTCAAGGGAACTTCCGAAACTCGTGAACCCTGCATACACCCGAAGCCTATGACCAGGACAGAAAGTTTCCCCGGCAAACAAAAAGCCACCCCCGCCCCCTCAGTTTTGAGACAGAGACATTCCGTATAGACACGACCCTAAGGCCCCAAAGTAGTTCCTTTTTGGGGTTCGTATATAGAATCCTATAAGGTAATCCCAAAAAGGAACTACTTTGGGGCCCATGGTAATCAAAGCCGAGTGTTTGCCATCCTTTTCTGGAAGCCCTGGCTTGCACTGAGTCCATTCTGCGGGAGTCAACTGCAACATGGCAGCAGTTGATGTCCTTACCCTTAATGGGGACCCCTACCCTATAATTAATGGGCTATATAATGGGTATATAATAGCTTGGTCATCATAAATCCCGGGGTCACACATGTGGGCTGTTTGCTGGGATTGTCACATGACGTGTTGAAATGATTCCAAATAAAGCATATCCCACCTAGGCAGGCAGATAGACAGAGAGTTGCACACACACACACACACACACTCGCAATCCGAGCAGATGTCAGCTGTCGGCGGCCTTGCAATATTTCACGATCTAGGACTTCCTTTGTGCATCTTGTGTTGCCCTAAATGCTCGGTGGCCGGGAAAATATGCTGGAGTAGCCTTTCGGACTTTCATGCTAAGTGAGTGGAGCTCAGCCAGCGCCGCTTAAACCCCACAAGCTAACTCTTTAATGCGATTTTGACAAGGGTGTTTTCTAAAACCCGGAGGCATACAGCAGCTAGCGGGTCTTGGGGTTTAGGACGTAGCGTTTGAAAGGGTCGGAACCTCAAGCTCTACACAAGCTTGCTGTCGACAAGAAGTCACAGGTCTGCAAACATAAGTCTTCGCGTGCTGCGCAGTAACTTCAGCACCCTCCTTTTCGTCAAAACTGCAGGAGTTTTTGGAGAAGGTGTGCCACGGAGCAGTGGACGAACGGATCGCCAGACCTGGCATAGATATCTTCGCCCCTTGGCCGGCGTGTTCAAGGTTTTGAGTTTCAGGATTTGGGTTGCTGCCAGGCCTAATGCTTTTCACGGTTTAGTGTGCACGTTCAAAGATGTTGCCTGTGGGGTCGTCTCTTCTGGTGGCATGCGGCATTCTGCGTCAAGCTTGAAGCCCGATTTTGAGAGCGTCAAGAACAAGTAACACGATCCCTTGACAACCACCTCGTAGTGCAAGCTTTCTCAAGCCCCTAGTCTGCAAATGGTGGCCTTTCAACTTTTGCAGATCCTCGATTCGACCCAAGAATCTGATTGTATTCTCGGAGCTCAAAGCAGCTGTCGGTAAGGTACCAGACAGTGAGAGCGTCTTGGCATGGCGTGTTTCTCTCGGGTTAAGATTAGCGCTTCGTGGCCTGTGTCCAGACGACCAAGCCATAAATCTTCAAAGGTTTAGTTTGTGTCGTCTACCAGGATGCTTTGGGGCACATGGCTCCTCATAAGCCATGTAGCATATTCGAAGGCACCCCACGTTGTCGACATCTCCCATGCAAGCGTAGATGAAACCACACTTCAGGCGATACGAGACCGTAATTAATGATGGGTCTTCGTGGCTGCAGGTGTGGATTCCGGGGTTACCGGAAGCAAGGGATTTGTGTTCTGCAAAAGATATGGGGTTTAAGGCTTGAGGCCTCAGGGCTTGCAGAATATTGGCCCTTGCGGATTTCATGGTGAGTTACAAATCATAACCCGAACCTGTGCAACCTCAAACACTTTTGGGGCTGAAATGTTTGGGCAAGATTGTGGGATTAGTCTCTGGGTTCCGCTTGCATCGATCTTGCATCTCCAGGACCCTAGAACTCAAGCCGGCGATCGGAACGGGCTCCGAGTACTTTCCATGTGCCTTCTTCAATCTGCAAGGCTGCAAGTTCTGAACATGCGGTAGCAACACGGAGCGAACCCTACTCAACCCCCACCCCACAGCACGAACAAAGCCCTAAACCGTCTAAACTCCGGCCCTATAAAGTCCAAAGGTGAAGGTGCCATCATCGCGTCGAGCGACGGTGGTTCGGCTGACCTTTGAGTTTGTGGTTTTTGCATGGGTTTAGGGTCCAGGGTTTAGGTTTAAGCTTTATGCGTTCGTCGGGTAGGCCGTCCAACCCGAGCTACCCGCTTGGTGGGTTTGTGGCAGGCTAGCGACTGGGATTTGGAGGATCGGGGGACTTGGAGCAGCTCCTGCACCGTCTTGGAGAGTTGTAGAGGGCGTCTGTGTGGAAGATTGTGCATTTAAAATGTTTAGGCATGCGTGAAGTCGCTGGGATGGCGTCAGCGGCAGAGTCGGGCAAGCCTTGCGGTCCGTTGAAGATTTTGTTGCGTAGCCGCTTATTGATGGCATGCAAGCACGGGTGTCGACAGAGGCTGAAGCCCAATCCCACAGTGCTCTTTGACTTCCTACAAAATCCTCTGAAGGGCCCGCCGATGCATCTGTCTTCAACTGCCTTGAAGGTTTTGGGGTTTTGCCACCCAGTGATTCATCTCCGATCTCTCGAATCTCTTTCCCTTCGCCGGGTAAAAACCGCAACTCCGAATTATTGCCTAATTGCAGGCTCTGAAATCTACGGACTCTTCTCCAAACTCCAGCGTTCATGTCACGTTAAAGGTGCAAGACGAAACTCTAGACAAACCCGAAGGTCAACCTTTACAAGCTCCAGCTTGCCTTACAGGTACGTAAGTAATCCCCACGACCCTTTGGAGAGCCCGAAGCTCCACTCAGACGTCGTCTTTGTTTAAGGATTCGACTATTGGGGATTCCTTGGATATGTAAGGAATGAAGCACAGGTCTGGTCTACACTCGGCGGGAGGTCTTCTTACGTTATAAGCAGAATTTCAACAACAGCACGGGCGTGGCTGCTCGGCGGGGGTTTAGCGTGTGAGACTTTGAGTCCACAGCTTCGGATATAGGCTTCGGGGTTCTGGTTCTGGGGATATCATATTGCACAGTGTAACCTGTGGGTCGGCATACCTCGCCAGGCTGATACACTTGCCCTCATATTCACATAAGATCCTATACCACCAAAAGCTGAGGAGCCACAGCATCCAATTTTTTTTCGGAGTCGGCGCTTTCAAATTCCGAATGTGGGCGCTTTCTGAATTGTCCCGGGTCTTCAAGCCTGTGGCCTGCCAGATTACAGAGGGCTGACGGCCGGATGAATCGGAGTTGAGCATGGATGTACTACACAGAACTATACACTCCACAATATAAAAGGGATTGTAAAGGCAAATGATTACACATCGTTTGGTTGCTCAGATTGTTGATGCAGGCGGAAGTTTATTTGCATTGCTGGGTGCTGGCATCAGGCGTGTCCGATATTCTCATCCGCCGCACCTCACGACCATTACGTGCAAAACAACGGCCCGTACCCGCTACGGCTGCAGGGTTTGCAGGGTCTAAGCCGTAGAGCTATCGGACATATCTAGCCAAAGATCAGCCGGCAAGCGGAGCCAAAGGGAGCATGATGCCTGGAGGCCTGAAGCCCTAGATTTGTTGGGTGTTTCCAGCGGCCCTTGCCAGATCAGACATCTAGCCTGAGAAATTTGCACCCCAGGCCGCCAGTCCTACAGCACAAAGCCTATTCGGACTGTTCCCTTACGATTTAGGGTTGGGGTTCGATTTAAAGGTTTGAGAGCCAATCTGGCATGTTTGTTTGATTGCAAAGAGCACAGGTTGGAAGTGTCTGTTCGATCGATTTGGGAGCTGTTAACATGGCGTTGCATGCATCCGATGCGATGAATTGGATGCCGCTACGGGGCTCGATAGCCCCAAACCGTCACACAGCACCAGAGACCTCGTCAGGCATGTCCGAGTTGCGAGAATGTAAACCCTATAAACCCTAAACCCCAAACCGGGAGTTGGAACATAACCTCACGCATGATTGGCTGATCAGACCTGAGGTTGCGCTTCGCTTCTCGGCTTGCACGGGTGCTGATCGACGCCAACCCTAAACCCAGTAGTAAATGAGTATTTCTTGCTGCCAGTGCTGTGGGTTTTGCTTGTAGCCGGCAGCATGATGCACTCCTCAAGGCTTCCAGGGAAAAGGCCCTGAAGCTCAAGATTCTGACCCCAAACCCACGCAAGACTGTCGATTGGCCTGTCTTTCTATGCTTTAATCGCGAAGGACCAGGAATGAGGCTTGCCGAAGTGGGCACCTTGTCCTCAAAGCTCAGCTTGGCAATTTCAGTCAGGTATGTGTTGAGATCGTAGCGTTTTTGAATCGAAGGTAAGGCAAGGGGTTGTAAAATTTGGCTTGGGGTATGGTATGTTTCTTCAGACATGCCGGCCCCAGCTGTCTTTCCAAAAGGGTTTTCTGTTTAGGTTGGGGTGTAGGGCTTCTGGTTTAGGGCTTCTGACAGAGGACACCCAATGGGACCTTAGTTCGGGAATTCCCATTCGCAGAATTATCGTTTCAGTATAAGCCCCGGTTTCAGCCCATCAAACTCATTGGGACACTGAGGGTCCGAAACACGCGAGCAAGCTTGACGAGCAAGATTTGCGGGTTGCTTCTTCATCCTTACGACAAAGGGTGAACAAATAGTGGGCAGCCGAAGCCCAGAGCCTTAAAGTGTGCGCTGCAAAGGCGCGGACGAAGATGGAAAGCAAGTGCTCATAGTGAGTCGTTTGCTGGGATGCGTAGATATAGGCAGATCTAGCATAATTGTGGGGCAGCCAGGTTGCAAAGCCGCACGACAGAAGACCACGCCACGTGTATCAGCCCATGCCACAAGCCCGAACATCGCGATGGTTGCCAACATGAAGCGGACCTACAATGTAGCAATCACCACTGTCGTCATCATCGTCATATATTCAGATCAACAACAGCGCCAACAGCAGAATAATTACACTCACGCCCAGCATCAGCAACACCATTGGCAGAAATTACACCATGACGATAGGAAGCGCGACAACGGGGACCCGAAGGGTCCGAATGCTGTGCAGACAACCATACTTCACCAACCTCGAGAAGGCTGTGCCCATTTTCGCTGCTGTGTCCTACAAGAGGCTGTGAAATTCAGCCGGCATGGGAGAGTTGAATGTCAAGCCCAAGAACCTCGAAGCCCCACGAAGCCAAGTCATGTGATAAGCGTATGAGCAGCAGAACGACGTACGCTGATCATGACAGTGGCAATGGTTCGATTGATCGCGGTGGTGGTCATACTGACGAAGATGATGCGCAGGATGTTCTGATGCTGAGTGCTACCTTGTTGTTGCTGCCCGCAGCGATGGTGATGGTTTTGATAGTGAGGCGGTTTCATGTTGCTGTTGATATTTGCTGATGGTGCTCACAACGGTAATTCCCGCTAGTGACGATGAGGTGAGGAGAAAGATGGTGGTAATCATGTTTCTCATAGTCCTGGGCCGTGTTTCCGGCTTGGAGACCATGATGCTGGCTATGGTGCATGCTGGTGATGATGAAAGTGTGGATGGATGTGATGATTGTGAAGATGGTGTCAGCGTTGATGGTGACGACAAAGGCTATGGGGACTGTTTCGGTCATGGTGAAGTCAAGGTGGTGCTGCTGGTAATGATGCATGACATCGACGAATGGCCCAATGCTATGAATGAATTGTCCGTTTCCTCCAGGGCATGCAGCCTACTGATGTGCCTCAGAAATTTCCGCCTTTCCAAAGCTGACAACCCAAACCCATCTCAGGCCTGTGGGCCGTATGGAGGCATCGAGGCCATCTCACCACCGAGACAACCTGCTCCTCAGTCTGCGAGGTAGGTTCAACGGTTTAGATTCGCATTCTATGTCGAGCTTTGAGCGCCAAGTTCTTGTCTGATGAGGGTCTCCAGGTCCTTGGGCTTTTAGCATGGGCTTTTAGGACGTGGTGGCTTTCTGTACGAGTTTTGCCATTGTGCAAGGTTTGGGTGCAGGGCGTTAGGTAAAATTCCAAATGCGGCAGCAGGAGTAGCTGCTATACCAACTCAAGCAATGAGAGTACGCGCATGTGCCAAAACCATAGGCTTGCGACTGCGGCGACAGCCGTGTGTTCCCGAAAGCACCACTTAATATCACTTATCTGTCCCCGGACTATGCTGCGAGAAGTGGACCTCCCACTCTAGGCCCTAGTTTTTCATAAGCCATTTAATGTTAACTTGTCCCGTGGGTGCCTTAGATTTTCATAACATGATCCAAGAACTTGTTGTGGTATCTGCTTTGACTCAAAATTTTTGTGCTTGGATGTTCTCGAGCTTCTCCAGGGCCAAGCCTGAATCCTACCTCTTCGCGAGGGCAGAGGTAACCCAGGGTTCCGCAGACGCCCGCGTTGTGCCACGGAGACACAACGGATGCATGGTGTCAGCGGCGACAACATAACAATTTCTCGTAGTGCCCCTCTACGGCTTTCTGTATGCACAGGATGATAGTAGTTCAATAGCTATGGGAGTTTTGCAGGGATAACCAGAAGAGAACTCTTTGCCCACAGCCTCAAGATGCGCAAAGCCTGAAACCCCAAACCGCGACACAAAGGTTGGACCAGAGAGGCTTTGATAAATCTGCCAGTAGCAGCATCGGGACCAAGAGCCGCCCTCATATCAAAAACCCCTTCCCTGAGACCGCCCCGTTTGGGCCGCACTTCCCTTAAACAAAGTGCAGCCTAATGACCATTTTTGTTCGAGAGAGGATGGTAGAGCCCCCGAAAAGACCCTGACAGCTTGAGTTGACATCTGAAACCATCCAACATCACCTAAACCTAAACCCTAACCCCTTAGCTGGGCGGGTGGGAAAAAACCTAAACCTTAAACCCTAAACCTTATAAACCTTATCCATGCCAAGGCCCGTACTTGTTTATCAACGCTGTCGATTTTGCTGAAATCGCACAGCAGCACGGAGGCCTCGGCCCACTCTTGGCAAGCCGGCACGGCATGGAACACATAATTCTGTTCGGTACTAAGGCTCTGAGTTTTGAAGGGGTGTCGACGGTGAAGAAGATACGGCATGTGGCAGTTTTGAGGTCTTCTGCAGCCGCGAGCCGATCCCCTGAGTAAGTTGTGGACTTCGTTTCGTAGAACTGCCAGGGGCGAAAGCTACATATGGGAGTTTCCGAAGATTAGGGGTACCTTATTTTGGGGTCCTTATAATAAGATAATAAGGATCCTATTAAAAGGGGTACGATATTAGGGTCCCCTATTTTCGGAAACTCTCATATAAGCATAAGCTATGAAACTTGACTGTTCTGGGGGGCTGCTCGGAACTCATGGGCCTTCTTTCCCATCCTCCTTATACGCAATACTCATGTGCCTTCCCCACAAGATCCCCCCCCCCCTCGAAATGGGAGTTTCCGAAAATAGGGGTACCATATTTTGGAGTCCTTATAATGAGGATCCCATTCTTGAGGGTATATTTGGGTCCCCTATTTTCGGAAACTCCCAAGAGTTCGAGGCCCGGGGCTTCGGGTCCGGTCCTGCGACGCCTGAACTCCTGAAATCCCGTAGCCGCGGGCCGCCTGAAGTTGCAAAGGCAGCGGCAGATCTTCTAAAGGGCTTCTCAGAAGCATAGAGTGAGTCGGAAAAGGAACTCGCCAACCGCACAGAAAGCGCAACATGCTCTTCAAGACAGTTCCGTGAGCTTGGGGCTTGTTGGGATGCCTGGCAGGAACGACCTTCAAGTACCTTCACATCTTTGGGCTGCTGTGCCCTGCCAGAGGAGCTTCATACTCGAAGGGCGGAGTCTAGCATATGGGAGTTTCCGAAAATAGGGGACCCTAATATAGTACCCGAAATTGTAGGATCCTTACTATAAGGACCCCAAAATGAGGTACCCCTAATCTTCGGAAACTCAGATGTAGGTTTGGCATTTGGGTTCAGCCTACATGCTAGATATTTGTCGGATCCGGTGCGCATGGATGCAAGCTCTCAAGCCGTGAACCTTGAGCCTCTAAACCCTTCTTACGTCAAAACGCCTCGATGTGAGTGCATGTGCCAGGCTGAGACCAAAGACACCCATGTCTGGATCCAACGTACGACCAGTGAAGTTGGAATCTGCATATATACTACACAAAGCCGGCTTCCGGACAAAGCTGAGCTTGTATGCCTAGCGTCGCTTGCTGTACCGCCTCGCGACAAGCTTGAACTTTGCGCACGGTGATTATTATCTGTTCACATGCACGCATCTACTACAGTTACTACAGTACAGAACCTGGTGGCTGCAGGGCTTTTCCCGAAGCACATCCTGCGACGGGTGTTTTGAAAAAAAGCCCATCGACCCTGAACCGCAGTGCCAGCTGCCTCTGTGATAGGACCTGTGCCCCAGGGAAAACGCCCCAAGTCCGTGACTAGACTGATTACCATGTAACGTCCCAAGCGGGTGAAGACATGGCCTATGAAGCGCGCAAGCTTCAAAGAAAGCCATGCGGCACTCCAGCACAAGGTACGTTTCCCACGTCGAGGATATAATGGACAAAGGTGTCTTGAGACTTGGACTTGATATGCTTTGTGTGTCATGTCCTTACGCAGGAACCTGTACAATTAGCGAGGTTCTTGCGTTAAGCATCGCTGTTTGGGGATCTACACTGGTAGAAATTGGAAAAACCGAATTTAGGGCAAATTATTCTTGCATATAGTCAGCTTATGTGCAGATGAAAGGCATCCTGTGGATTCGAAGATCGGACCAAGGGGATAAGTTACCTTGCAGCCCCACCCAAGCCTTTACACGCCAATTAAACCTTCTGATAGGGACCTCAAGTGCTGGAGCAGATAAATGAGCCGGACGACCACAAAATGCACTCAATACTTGCTATCTACCCTTGGAAGGCAAAGCTGGATGACGCCTAAATCCGATCCCAAACTCAAGCCCACCAAAGGGGAAAATACCCGATCCTACGAGCTTTGCGCCTGAATTTTCTAAGACTCCGCGCCCTATGCCAATGCAGTACATCAAGCCCCCTTTCTTCAACGTCGAGCTCGACAAGCCCTCAAATTACCTATCTTGGGAATACTTACCGAAACCAACAGTAATACAGCAACTATGCACTTCTGAATCTTTATATAAACATTTGCTTCTTTCTACGACCATTTGGGAACCTGGAAAGCAGCTGAGGAGTGATCTTTCGGCGGAGCAGGACGAGCTCCAGACACTCGGTCGGCGGGCGCAGTGCCTTGGCCAGGTTGAGGATGGTTGTATTTCAAGTGTCTACAAGCTTTTTGCAGCCGGAGTCTTCGTCTTCTTCATTTCGGCAACCGGAACGAAGCTCTGTCACGCCCAAGCCATGATAGTTTGATGTCACAATGTGGCTCGGGAAGCCGTCGGCCCGGACGGACAAGTGGTCCCCCAGCAGTGGGTTTGTATGTCTGCTGTATAGCATGGATGAGGGGAAGGATAGAAGGATGGAGCGAAGGAGGGGTGAAAGCGTATATGTATACGTATGCTTGAAAATATGTGTATGCACATGTACATGTATATACATCTGTACGTGCGTCTCACCCAGCACATCGACGTGCTTTTCGGGGAGAGCGGGAAAGAGAGAGAGAGGGATGTATATGTATGTGTGTAATGATATAATATGATGAAAAAGAAATAAATATATATATATATATATATATATATACATATGTATAGATATGTATAGATATGTTTGTGTTTGTGATGTGTACACATATGTATACGTATATGTATATTCACTTAGTAGATCTATGCACACATCTGCGAATATACATTCATTGTCGTACACCTTTGACAGCATTGTGTTTACAGATACACATCGTTGGACACATACAAAAGTCACCGGACTTCGTCTGCAATCTCCAGGTTCCAGCTTCATTTCGGGTTTGGGTCTTGGGGTTGGGATTTAGAATTCCGGGTTCAGGTTTTACGGCCTTAGATGCCTCTGGGGTTTCGGACTTGCCTCACACACGAAGCACTGGACCTCAGGTTTAGGATATCGGTTGTGAGTGCAGTCCATCGGCTGCATGTTTTCTTGCCTGACGTCTCTTGATGGGTTCGGGGCTTATACTGTGACTACTGCTGGCATGTTGTTGGGATTTCGTACGTTTTCCTTGCCTGGTCCTGATGTTCTATGTAACTTTGTAGCGGTCGACCAGTTCACGGTTCAGGACAGCCAGACCGGAAACTCGAGGGAGACCGCTGTAGGAGTCAGGTGAGATCGGACGCATCTATCCAGGCTTGCTCCCGATAGTCGTCCCCTTGAACTTCAGCTGATCTTGGGTTTCGGGTCTGGGTCCACTTTCGCCCAAGATTGAACACAACGTATAGTGCTGAATGCAGCGCGCGCAGTGCATATAAAGCTTTGTGAAGCGTTTAGAATCAACAGCCAACCCTGGCGGTGGGGTACGCAAGTACTCCACGATCTCAGGACCTTCATGGACCTGTCTTCGAGGGACACGACCATTTCCGGATTCGGCCAAATTTGAGCTGCTCAAGCCTATGCCCTCTATGGGGGGATGCCAGGCCCATCCAGAGAGCGCCAGCCATCTTAAACGAGGAACACACCTTCAGCTAGAAAGATAAGCAGTGCACCGTTCAAGATATATTCCTCCCAAGGGGTACTGGGCTTTCTGGGCATGTGGCTGTGGTTGCGTCAGGAAAACGAGCCGCCTGATGTGCAAAACTCTGTTTGCTTGTGCAGTTACTCGTTGGCCCCAACATGTTGGGAAAAGAATCAAGGTGGTGTTTAGGAGCTAGAGTCGAGGGTTTGCAGGTTCATGTGGCCATGCCAAAAAGACACTGGGCGACTCTTTAGCAATGCGACGGGTGCAAAGACAACCTGCCAGCTTCTAAATATCCCAGACGCCGGATCCCGATACAAGGTTTCAGACAGTCACCGGGGATGTCAAGCGTCGATACCAGTTTTTTGGGGCTGTGTTGGGGTCCCTTCTTTTCTGGAAGTTCCCACCACAGGGGAATGGTCTGAAGTTTAGGGATTGAGATACGTCAGACCTTAGCTTTCAGCATCCTTCTGCAAGCTTTTGTGCCCCTCTGATAGCAAAGTCTCTTTCGTGCTTGGCGGGGCATAGGGCCATAGGGTGTCAGTCTAGCAGTCGTGTGCTGGCATGAGTGTGTGCGGCAGGCGGCCTTGCTGCATCATCCCTGAGCAAGACTTCCATAATATTCGATTTCTCGTAAGCTTACAACTGTTAAGCCGTTGAGTTCTGACCATTCAAGACACCTTCTGCGACCCATGGCCTTGTCAACTTGCAGAAGCACTACGGGTTTTCGGCAGTCGGGTCCTTTCGAAGAATTCGTCCCGGTGGCTTGTGCGAACACTGGCGGAATTAGCCACGTCATGCCAAGCAGTTTGAGAGTCATTGAGCTGCGGTCTAGGGTTCTGGAAGTTAAGGTTTGGTGCTTTTCGGGCTTCGAATGTAGCGTCGAGGGTTCAGTGAGTAAGGGTCCATCGTCAGTTCTCGAATGAGCCTGTGGTGCCCTAAATAATCTGAACCAGCGTCCCGCCGAACTTCTTCTGTTGGGTTTTAGATCCCATGGTTGAAGCTCCAAGAGTTTGTGGCGCAATGAGACTGGAGCAAGTGCAGCCTGACCTTGGATTCGTTTCACCCCGCGGCCGGATCATCGAAGATGCCACGACACCAGATGAAGAAAAGACAAGGTTTATAGGGTAAAAGAAAAAAAGCATGTCCACAACTGTCCACAACTCTGCAGCACTGCAGACGACTCACCACAATCCAAATGGATCCAAGATAGGGGCATTACAACAGTAATCAAGGTTTTGGGCTATCGTTGTCGGATTTCAGACCCCCATGTATAAACTTCATCTCGAAAGTCAATCCCTTGTAGCCTTGCAGCCTTCGGAACCCCGGACCACGAGTCCTAGGCGCTGACTGACCAGATGTTGAGTTTCTGGCCCGGGTATGGAGAAGCATGCGCGCGAAATGCGCGCTCCGCTTCTGTCTCACAGCGCCGATAAACCCAAGATTTTGCCAGCATGAAGCTGAAAAAGAAAGTGCATCTGCCAGACGACGGAGTTGGGCAGCCGGCCCCTCGTTCATGCACTATGTTAGGCTTGCCTTCGGTGTTTCAAGTCATGATTGACATCGGAGGCATGGCCAGGTACATTCCGAATTCCAAAACCCCCATGGCGAAACAAAGGCGTAAGCCCTCAGTCTCAAAGTCGTTCTTCAGTGCAGAGCCTTTCGCTGCAGAACAACATGCGCTCGTGCTTTAAAGGCGGGTTTCGATCGAGGCTTTGGGTAGGCTGCAGAGTCACCTCTAGCAGAAGCCCTGGCGATAGAAGGCCCAGGCATTCGCATCCGGCATCTCCTAGTTTCAAGAGTTCGCTCCTGGGTTTGCGGCAAAGCATCCCCTAAAGCCTTGAGCCAGGAAACTCCAAACAGTTTGCGCTTGTTTTTGTGTTTTCCTTCTGTGCTTTCTGGGGCCGCAATTCCAACCCTTGAATATCTATATCTAAATATGAATAAATAAATAAATAAATAAATATAAATATATATATATATATATATATTTATTTATTTATTTATCGCATCGAGCTCTTTCCAGGACCTGTCACAAATTCTGGACCGTGCGTTCGGCGGCCAGGCAAGGGTGCGGCTCCGAGGCTTTCCCGGTAACAGAGCCGAGGTGCAAGGTACTCGTAAACTGCTGTTTTTCGAGTTAAGGGGTAGACGTACCCAGCATCCTAGATATGTCGAGTTGGCTTTTTCATGATATGCGGCCAAAATAGAATGGCCCTCGCCATAGTTACAGTACGGACCTACTATCAAGGGTAGGAAAGCCATGTTGGGAACTTTTCAGAGGCCCCGGCAAACCTTCAGCAAAGAACCGCTTGGGTGCTCATATGCACTACAGGGCCGGACCAGTAAGATGCTAAGGTTTCAGGTCTCGCCCGGCCAAGCCCTCAATGACAAACCGGGTGCAAGTATGCTTGTTGCACTGGGAGTTTGCGAGAGTTTGTTGTGCATTTGCTTACCACAAACAAACCAGCTTGTTTTGCCGGCCCGGCGCTCTGCAACCCTACAGAGATGGGGTTTCGTTTCGGCAGATAAAGTGGGCGGGGACAAACTCAGGAGGTATGTCTTTTCGTCAGTGACGTTTCGGATGATTTAGAGAATGATTCTTCCGCTTCCTTGTAGTTTCACTGGTGGAAATGAAATGTGTCGCTGTGTTTTGGGTTTTTATTGCGTTCTGTGCGCTGGGGTTCGGTAGTTCTGAAAGATCCGCCGTCATTCAGCTATGTTCTTATGCTTACTGTCTTCGTAGTAGCTTGGCGAGCAGCAGAGACCACAGCACAAATGTCGATGGCTTTGCGAGTGCATCTGCCGAAACCCTTAAACATCAGGCCCAAAACCCCAAACCCTAAACCCTAAACCCCCCCAGGTCCTTCTACTTGAGCAGCTGCTGTCGAAGCTGCGGTCGATGGGCATGGAGATCTCTCTCGTCTCGTTTGGCACTCGGGTCTCGGGCTTGCATAGGGCTTTGGGTTGAAGGTGGAGGGTTTCGGGCAGGGCTGAGGTTCCCCCCAATTAAGGGCTTTTGGGGGCCGGGGAGTAATTTGCTTTGACCCTTACTTAGGATACTTTGGGAAAGCGCGAGGCGCGGAAGCGCCTACATGGGAATTTCGGAGTAAGTCAGATCTTGCACTGCCGGGAATGCCGGACGATCGCTATCCATGACAGCCGTCTGCTCCGACCGAGCCGTGAAGTCTTTATGCTTAATTAAAGCCGAGAGCCGTCAAGCCCATTGTATCATAGCCCACATCTTGCATGATACTGATAAGATGCTGAGCTTCCAGGCCTGTAGAGCGCTGCAGATGGTCGTCTTCGCTTCCCTACAGTCACAAGAACCCCCAATAATTCAAAACCTCCAAAATGTAATTAGTCTATCTTCACCCAGGGGCGAAAGCGTGGATCGCAAAAAACTTCCAGTTCTGCTACTTCCTGAGACCCAGGCCCTGAAATTCGTCGTCTTGACCAGACAGAGCAGTATGATGAAGGTTTGCTGACCTTCAACTGCGAACCGAGAGACCTGACCCCTTTTGCATGTGCCATTTGCTGCCGTAGGGGTGTATCGCGCCTCAGGAGCCCAAGTTGCACATGCCACCGTTTGCTGGATGAATGCAGTTGACAGAAGACACTGGCACAATTTCTGGGCCTTCGCGATGACAATGAATGTTGCAGATGCCGGAGCCTGCAATCTGGTAGCACTGCATCGCTTGCACGGGCTCAGCAGGGGCAGGCAGCATGGGAAGAACGAATATATGTGGTGGGGCGCACGAGGCCCCTACGGCAGCATCACGGCATCCTAGGCATCCTGCAACTAAAGTCTGATTGCAAACTGTCCCAAAAGCACATCTCGCTCAAGAACACTAGTCCAGACCCATTCAGAAAGCTAACCCGCATCCCGCCAAGTGCCCTTGGTCTTCAACAATGTATAATCGTCTGCGTTCTACACAAGAAGGCCCTAGGCTCGTAGCTCGGACAGTCTATGCTTTTGTGTACTCGATCTGGCTTCGATACCCACGTAGAACAGACGTAGCATAGCACCACTGGCCTCTGTTACCACGTGCCACCGCCACGCTTTTGAGCGATTTGGGATCCCTGTGAAGTGTCCCTGGCAGTCAGGCTTCGTCACGTAGCGTGAAGGACTTCTGGAGCGAATTAGAGAAGGGTTTTTTTGATTTCCCTCGGGTGGTGGCATGCATGGGTTGCCTTCATTCTGGACCACAGGGCTCTATGTTGCAGGCGCTGTGTGTTGTGGAGCCTGCTGGGTAAGTGGCGGCAAAATTGTGGCCCGACGGTTCGAAGAAGGTCAAGGGCCATAACTTGCATCCCAGCTCTCTATCGACATGGGTTTTATGTTTTCCACTTTTTGCCAAACAGGAAGTAGAAATGGCATGGTCGTAGGTTGTAGGCTGGCCGCTTGTGAACTTCTTTCGTGCATATTCATAGATTAGCGTCCGTTAGAACTTTGGTAGTCGTCGTTATGGTGGCATTGGAGTGCCGGATTTGGCAAAGACGAGAAACCAAAAGCGAAACGATCAACGAAGATCAGTTGTTGTAACATGTCATTGCTGCCGCCGCTTTTGTGCCGATTTATTCCGTGTGATATGTGGCTGTACAACCGACGGCAAAATCGATGCTCACCAGAGCGTCTTGTCAGCCAATGTCCAATCTGATGGAGTCATTATTACTGCTGCTGTCACTACTACCACTACCATTGCTATACGACTACAAAATACCATCACCATTATAACTATTGCTGTTTCTTCTAGACTAATCGTACTTATATATGTATATATACATATCCTACAGAAATAGTTGACCAGATCCCTGCAAACCCATAGGACCCCCATATCATCCATGGAGCAGTCCTGAAACAAGAAGTATTGACAAACGCTTGGATGGCGCCAACTTGACCAGAAGTTCAGCCCCAGCGAAACCAACGGACATACTTCTAAAAGGTCTTCGGAGTTTTTCATTCTGAGACACCTGATGTACATGGGTGCAAGAGGGCCGTTTATGCTCGAGCACCTCGTGCTTTCCTTGGGGCTTAAGCACCCAAGCTTCACAATATCATGTCAACAAGTTAACGGCGTCGGCCCCCCAAAGCACTCCGAGCCGCGCCCACATAGTTCGAAAAAGCACAGGAACATCATAGCACGAATCCGAACCGTTCACAGGATCAGCCCGCTCGACGTAGAGCACAATCAGAAAGCTCTAAATCATGCACGGTTTGAAGTTGCATTCTTTGTAGGCCCTGTAAACCATGTGGCCCTGAAGTCTAACCCTCTAAGCCCAAAACTAAAATCGCAGCATTGACCGTGCGCCTGGATTTCGTCGTGAGCACGCATCGCTGTTTCGAGGCACATGGATCCGCTCTGCCCTGTATACCATTTCATGTAGAGGTCTAAGTCTAAGTTTTGCGGACATTACAAGAGAATATCAGAATCGTAATACCTCAGGGCCTTCTCACGGTTCAGCATGAGGGGGCTTGAGGTTCAGTAGCATAGGCGGGCCTGGATGGCTGCCGGTCGCTCTGAGACTTTAACAGGTTTCGGACCAACAACAAGCAAGAGAAGACCCTACAGGTTCCATCTTCCCCCGAACCCTGGTTGTAGACCCTAGACCCCGTACGCCCTTCAACAGCCCTAAGCTCGATACCCGTTAAACCGCTACATCCTAAACTTCCAATTTCGGGTGGCTGGGCGCCTTCGGACCTTTGGGGATCGAGGCGCTCCTGGGGATCCAGGAATGTAGGGGGGGGAGGGTTTCGCGGTTCAGCATGGTGCGGGGGAGTGTTGGATTATTACATATTAGGGCATTGAATGGGGGTTTCCATGGGTTTCAATTAAGATTCTAGGGGTTGAGGTGCTGTGGGTTTGGGTTCGAGTTTCTGAATACAGGGTTTGGGCTTTATGCAGGTTTTGGGCTCAGAGTTGTACTGAGGATTCAGGTCGCCCCGTATCGAACCAGACAGAGGCCTCGAACCCGGGCTCACTTACGGAGGCCTTCTCCATCCTAGTCAACCCCTAAAGCGCACTCCTTGCTGGGTTTAGACGTGTGCCTCTCAAGGGAGACTGCTGTCAGTTGAGGCTTCTCTTGTGATGGATAGCTGTTGCTGGCGTGTCAATGGTTTCGTCTGACAGCCTAACTCTACGAGTGAATCGACTTGTAGAGTCGTTAACGAAGTGCGTCGAACCTACTACTGCAGACCTTGCCAGGCTTGTCCGAGAGTGAGTGTCCAAAAAGCGCACTCCTGGCTGGAAGGAACCATGCAAGAGTCGCTCTTGGAAACTCGGACACCATCTGCATCTGCCTGCTGCACACCACGAGGCACGGCAGCCGGAACAGTGCTTTACATGCTTCACCGGATTTCAGACGGTCATCCTTGTGTTCCTCCACGAGTCAAGGGACGTTCAACAACCGACCCTGGCCACTGAACTTGTGGCTCGTTCCTGAACCTTCAAGACACCAGAAGCTAGGCACAGAAGTCAGAAAGTTGTGGCTGTCGCGGCTGGAGATGCTCTCAGGATTCGAGGCTCCATAGATTGAGGGTTTTTGTTCCACGGTGTAGGGTTTAGGCTCTAGGTATATGGATGTGATTGACGAGACACTTCTGTTGCGGGCCCGGCGATTACCGAGATGTGTCGAGTTGAATTCTGTCACGCCTAGACATATATTTCTCAATTCATTTATTTATTTCTCTACATACATACAGTCATGATTGCATCCATGCATGCATACGTACATACATACTGTGCCTGCATATTCTTGGGAGGAAGCGCTTTCCGCATCGGGTCTCACATACTTAGGACCTCATCTTGCCTCAGTAACCACATTTACGTTCGGGTCGCTTTCCCCGCCCCTTTGCAAGCACTTCTGAAAGCCCTGGCTCTGCAACCCTGGCCCTGGCCACGCTAGACCCCAAAACCTTTTCAGGATGTGGCATAGCATTGTTCGTGGCTACGTTTTTTGCCCTTCTCGTCGCCCGCTGGGAGGCAAGCTGATTCAAAGTCTAAGTCGAACGTTGAGGATGTGTTTGTTTTGGAGGGCAGGGGCCTAAAGCCCTAGTGGCAGCAGTGAGTGATGAAGAAGATGTTTGTTGCGAGGCAAAGAACCTAAAACTTGTAAGGCCCCAAGTCTTGTGCTCTCTGGAGGCCTTGCAAATTCTGGTTCGAAGCCTCCGAAGCTCCACGATCTAGGGTTCGGGATTGCTGGACCGAGGTGTGAGGTCCTTTCTAAAGCACTGGTAGTCTAAACGGTTCTGCAGTGCAAAGGGTACATTTCATACTTTTCCACCCTAAAGAACTGCGTCCACCCCTTCAAGAGCACAATATATGAATGCGTATATACATATATATATATATATATATACATATATATATATTATGAATATATATATATATATGTATGTATACATTTTAAGTCCGTGTGCATGGCTGGTTTCGGTAACCTTGTCATTACCACGATGGCCATCTGCGCGGACATGAGATGTGACGAAGGTTGGCTGTAATCTCATTATCGGGCTATGAGCTTAGAATCTGTGTGCGAAAAGCCCGTTAGCCGCCTGAGCCCTGAATGCGATCTAGGCCCAACCTCCGAGCCCTAAAACCCGAAAACGTCCATGAACACCTCTCCCGACCCGTTGTACAACTCTTCTGAAGACGCGAACAGGAACTCGTAGAACTCTAAACCGATGCCTTGGGTTTCATCAGGATTGGCAGCGGGGAGCCGGCGGATGCGGCGCTGCTCCAGAACTTCCACCACACCTGCCCAGGCTTCTGCCTCAGAGTTTCGAGCCTAAGGTAGGGACCTAATTTATTATCAATACTATTGGGAGGGTTCCTTTAGTGTAGGTATAGTAGAGTATGCCCCAAAACCCCACTCTTGTTGTTTATTCAGGTCTCTATAGTGTGCGAAAGGGGTCAGGTTTAGGGCGTAGTGGGTTTAGTGTTTACAGGGCTTAGTTGTAGAGTCTGTAGAGTTAGTCAGTTAGTCAGTTCTTATGAGGGCTAGGGCGGGGCAAGACAAGGGACGGCGCGGAGTGTCTAGGGATTCAGGTCGCAAGGGGCGGGCCGGGTACATTCCAAACGTAAATCCTGAACGCTACACCCTGAAGCCTAGACGCAGGAGACGAGTAATATACGCTTGAGTCAAAGAAGCACTATGCCGTAAGCAGTAAGAGTTCAGGGGCTTCGGAAAATCGCCAGAAGTCTTGGATCTAGGTTTGCAGAAGCCCAGATACACCAACAGGTAGGCGGTTCAGCATGTAAGACAGTTGTCGCTTTTGCATGTGCGTGGCCTTCTATGGCTCAGGCCGCTGAGTGAGCGTGCAAGATCCAGACTGACTCGAAGCTTTTGCAGACTGAACCTGGACTCAAGCCTTTGCATCCCCATGCTTTAAACCGCCATTCCGAAACCCCTGAACACTGTTTCAAACAGGCAGGGGCCGATTCAGGCCGCCGTCTTTGAACGCGCGCAGCGTCAGGCCCGAGAGGGGATGTGCGATAGGCGGCTGCATAGGCATCAGGACTTCTTGCTTCAGCCTGTACCTGGGTTTCTTTCAAGTTATCGTCGAATCTGACTCCTTAGTGCATGGATCGGCGATGGCATCGTTTTGAGTTCACGCACGTGGGGCAGGTTCAGAACTTGGACTGGCTCATGGTAGCAACTCCACAAGCCCAAACACACCGCCTCATACGTGGCTTCATGCAACCTCTAGCATGTATTTATTCGCCCGACGCCCAATACCCGAGCGCTATATTGCGTTAGAGCGGCATTGGATTCATCTGCAGCCATATATACATATTGTGTTAGAGCGGCATTGGGTTCATCTGCAGCCATCTATGAAACCATCGACACACACAAGCATGCATGCGCACGCGAAGCCGCGAGCCCGATTCGTGACACAGAATCCAGGCTTGAATCCCCAACACTAAACCACCAAATCTTCTACGCCTAAAGTTTAGCCTAAACCCTAAACCCCTGCCTCGTGCGAGTGTGAGCGTCGAAACCCCTAAAACCCTAAACCCAATAAGCTTAACCCATTGTGACACGCAGGCGCTGGCATTGGAAGCTTCTGGTAATCATGCGCTGATTTCGCTGCTGCGCTCTCCAGCCTTGCGCAGCGCCTTTGATGCAGAATGTTGACTGGAAATCTCAGGGTTGGGCCATCTATGTTGTTGATTGTATACGGTTTATATCATTTGAGATTTTTGTTCAGGAAAGTGGGTGCTAATTATGAGCTCTAGGGTTTCCTATGATGACTACGACGATCAGACCTTTTGCTTGGGAGCCTTACTTCGGACACGGTTCAATCCTTCGGAAGTCTCCGGTGTACAGGCCAACCGACTGACACGTCCCGACCACCCTATAGACAGAATGCCCTAATGTATAAAAGCAAAACCCAAATCATGCCAAGACCCCGAAACACTGATGTTCAAAACCTCTGACTGAGGATACTTGGCCCTGTTCGATGACGGGAGCCATCTGCAGCAGCTGTCGCCCGAAGAGCTACAGGTGGATCAGAAAAGGGTTCAAGATGCTGAGTTCTAAAGCTTCTCTTCCGAATATTGGGCGCATCACACCTCCAAGTCCCTTGTGGACATGGACCAAACAAGCAGCTGGACCAAACAAGCAGCTGGTATTCTTTTGCAGCAGAGGTCAACTCACAAAGGCGGAAGACATTGTTGATGTTGGATTTCGGGCCTCGGGCCAGAACCACCGTGTGTGGTCGATCGTGCTCGTGGGTTGTGGGACAAGACCTCCGCTCTTCATCCAAATTGGATTAACCTCCTCTTTGAACAGTGCTGGCGCTCAGGTACGGCTGAAACAAGAGCTGGGCTCGGCGGAGCTAGCCACTTGCACTGAAAGCGCAGACCCAGTAACGACTTCTTCTCGGCTTCACCTTCACAGTCTTTGTAGCTGTGACACATGCAGGGCTTGCACATTCGATGGAAATAAAGGAATGAAAGTGCGAGCTGGCTCTGCATGTTCCTTCTGACACTGCTACTGCTGCTGCCAGCCCCTCCTCTGCCCAGAGGGCTGACGGGACTGATGATCGAAAAGCTTCACAGCTGGCTGGCCCGAAACCTCACCCAGACAAACTCAATGCCGAGACCAGACAGAACCCACCGGACCTCAAGAGCTAATGCCTCGAGTCACAGCCTTGATCCCAGCTGTTGGGGCCGAGGTGCACAATTTCGGCTCTACCGCAGATCCGCGACGTGAAGGGAACTGTGGCTTAGGTGTTGCTGGGTGGCAGATCCTGCACGACCATCTTCCAGCTTGTTCCGTTGATTATAGCGCCATGACCTGTCATGTCGTCTTTGGTTTTGCAGCCTCGGGTATGAGGCTATCTTCCGGCTTCCGTTGCAGGAGCAGGGTGTACAGAGTTGTCGAAGGGTTGGGTCCGGGTGTTCAGGGTTTTGATAAGCCGGTTCGTTTTGCGGCGGAGCTCTTCGGGTGCTGACAGCTATGCTGCAGGCTGGAGTGTGAAGACAGCGCCTTTTGTGAAAGGATCGACTGTGCGTATACCCTTGAAGTCAAGCCGAAGCCGTAAACTTCTCGCCCCCGAAGTCTGAGCCATGCAAACCCAGAGCCCAGAGCTGCACAGGGCTGACTTGAAGAACGACCGCCAACAGACGTCCCAAGCACACTTGTGTTAAGGAAGCAGTTTCTAATCCTGAACTGCGTACCGCCAGAACCACCAGCACTCAGCCCCATCCGGAACTGGAGAATCCATGCTTTTCTACTAGCCGAAATCCTAACGCCTAGAAAACCAGTATTGCGACCCTCAGGTTACCCTGGAACCTGCGAAGGGGCCCGATGCACCCTACCTCTATGAGGGCTGGATGCTCCAAGCACTGCATTTGACGCTCAGAGGGTATCGTTGGGATGTTTGGTGCTTACAGGGCATCTCACAGCGACTAGAGGGTTCTTCTAGTGTCTTGGGTTTGAGATATTGGCGGGGTCCAGTGTAGGGAGAGGATGTTCTAATGCGTCTGGGCTTGGGGCTGAGCTCGGTCGGGGTTCAGGTTCAGGTTGCCGGCCGCTTCCCCACTATATGCTGTGTAAGGCTGTGTGCTTCTATCCGTTGTTATGCATGCTTGGAATGGAGGGATGCCCGACGGACTTCGAAGTTTGCCTTTGGTTTAAAGGCCGGATCGAACATCAGAACTGCTCACATTCCATCTATGTCCTCACCTGCTCGCTTAAGGTTCCCCAGCGCCTGGGTACACTCATCACGAACCATCACTCTCCACGTCGCGAGGATTCCATTGGATGTGAAAAACAACGTCTACACAGATGCGATGGAGCAACACCTTTTCGGCAGCTTGCTTGTTGAGCAGTTTGTAGCAGGCTGCAGAGTTTATCATGTTCGGGCTCGCTGAAGGCAGTAGCAAAGGAAGTTCGACATCACTCTGGTGAGGCAGGGTGCGGGGCCAACAGTTGCAACAGTAAATCGCAGGCTATCCCCCCTTCGCCGATCCGAGCTGCTCCCCGGTATGCACTCCGCAAGTCTTTTATGTTGTTCGTCTTGGGTTTGGGAGGCTTGGGTTTTTCAGGCTTCAAAATGCAGGGACACAGAATTAAAGACCTTCCAGGCCCCCAAGAGATTCCAGGTGTTCCCGCGTTTGAACCCTATGTGGGGCCCTGCCTTTGCTGCACGTCTTCCTGCACAAGCAGCCATGAGAGCCTCAGCAACAACTGCGGTAAGACTCTTGGCTAGCTGGCCCGGAACTCTCCAACCGGAAACCACCGACCCAACCTCAACCCTAAGCCCCCTAAACCCTAAACCGTTAGGGCCTGAGCCCACGAAAAGCCCCAACCCTACACCCTACCACCTTGTAGAGGTCCGGATGTCCCCACAGCGGCCCAGCGGCCAATGTACTCGGCCCTGAACATGTACCGGGCCAGTGGAGGGAATCCTCAATGTGGCGCTTCGGCTTCATGAGACATGCGGAGGGACAAGGACGTAGGAATATGCAGGAGGCTTGGAGTGTGGGAATACCATGGTGTGCGGTTTGGTTCTGTTGAGGTTGGCATATACCTTCATGACGAGTTAATAGCCGCGGGCCGAGAAAGCAATCCCTAAAAGATTCAGAGGTTATTAAACTTTTGAGCTGATTTGCTGAAAGCTTGCAGTAAACAAAACACGCGCCTGATTCGTTTGGCAAAGTCCCATTCAAGGACCGATCTCGGCCATCCTCTCGCGCAAGTATGTCAATGGAAGAGCAGTGGCCGCACCCATCGACACCGGCCTCTTTGCCGGCTTCTGCGGCCTGGACACCAAGGACGCAGGGGTTTTCAAGCGCCCGGGATGAGGATTGAGGCTCCAGGCACGTCACATTGATAGGTTATGACCCCACGATTATCGGTACAACCGGGTACAACGCCCTGGATTGAGGGATGGAGGGGGCGCCGGGTTAATGTAGCCAATATGAGACAGTATCGCTTGTGTGTCTTTGTCTGTGTGGGGCCTAATTCCGTCAGCTTGCCACTATGCCCTTTTGTGTGTTGATCGTGTCGGTACTGTGAGTGATGCAGTGGATGGGTGATTTGCCAGGCCATTCGTCTATCTGTCGGTCGGTCCGACTCCCCTCGCCCGTCCCCACCTCCCCCCCTCGCCTTGCGCGTGCTCTCTCTCTCTCTCTCTCTCTCCCTCCCTCCCTCTCTCTCTCTCTCTCTCTCTCTCTCTCTCTCTCTCTCTCTCTCTCTCTCTCTTTCTCTTTGTCTTTATCTTTCTGTTTCTCTCTCTCTCTCTCTCTGTCTCGCTCCCTCTCGCTCTCAGTCTTCGTCTGTCTACCTTTCTCTACTCTCTCGGTCTCTGTCTGTCTCCCCTTCTGTATATCTATCTCTCTCTCTCTCTCTCTCTCTCTCTCCCTCTCGCTCGCTTGTTCGTTTGTTCATGTCAGTCAATGATTTGAAGTGCAACCTCAATTTCATCTGTACGTTAGTTTAGGATTGGCTTCGATGTTTGATTTGGGAAAGGAGGCAGGTTGACTTGTCTGACCGGCAGGAAACTGTGGCATTCAACGGCGTCCGTTGCTTGCGCTGTGCCTTAGCGCCATAGCGACACCATTGTCTTCTGGGCATTCATGATGCCGGATAAAGTCAAAGGGATTCAGAGAAACAGCCACGGCAATTGGATTGCCAAATCTCGTCGCTTGGAATCCCTCATTACTGTAGCAAGCGTTGGCCAATATCCACGCGAAAATTTTCGATATCTTCAGCCACCTATGTTGCACCTTTCGGGCGACCTGCAGCAATAAACCTTCCATTCCCTGACGAGCAAGCACAGGCCCTGAGTTCTTCGGGTGAACCCAGAACGATTCAAAACCAAAAGAATAATTGTCGAGTCTCTCGGCAGTGTTGAAGAGCTCAAAACCACCTGGCCGACAAAGTCTAGATCAGAGCTGCAAACAGGCTGTGGCTTTTCTGAGGTGAGATCTGGTCCTCCCCGTCACAGAGGGTTCTGGGGACGCCAGACATAATCGATCACCTCCTGCCCCTGTATCTGCACTTCTACAATGCAACACAAGAAGTCGCAGGCCGAGTTGGGTCCTGCTGTTTGGGGTTTCTGGTTGGAGCGTCGACATGATTCACAAGATAGATCCTGCAGCAGCCTGAAGCTACAGTGGGCTTCAGTTGGTCAACGCTTCCCTCGCGATGGTGTTTTGATGCATCAAAGTAGCATCACTGCTACTGCAGCTAGAGCTGATCGATGCGTCTTGAGCCGCAGCTACGGAGCTGAGCCCGCTTGCAGAATCTATGTCATAGTTGCTGAAAAAGCGAAGTGTGATGTGCAGCCAGGTCCGTGTCACTCTGAAGCCTTAACCACATCCAGGACCTTCTCCCTAGCAGATTCTCGGTTTGTTATTTGCAGTCGGGCTTTTGCCACCACCAGTCGTTGTAGGTTTCGTGAAGAGGGAGATTAGCCTTTGCCAGGTGACAGCTACGTGGAGTACAACCTAGCAAGGCTACTGACCCGGCTCCTTTCGCGAAAGACCTATGCACACTCCTTGCACGATTTGGGCAAATCTCTTCCAGAGCAGCCGCTGCGACTGAACACGTCTCTTGGATGAAACGAGCGATTGATTCTCATTGCGCAGCGACGACCGCCCTACAACCTGATAAGCCCTAATCTTGACCTGGCAGTGCAGACTTGTCGATAGAAATCGTCTGCCCCGTCGGCGTTGCGCAGGTCGGCCCCTGAAGTGCCACGATTGTCCTTGGGAAGTGCGTTCAATTCGTCTCTTCCGCGGTTGCTCCTGAAGGAGACTTACTCGATGATGCATAGCTGTCGGCAACCGAACACTGAACAACGCCTCTTTGGAGCAACTCGTGAGACAGGGGCAATGAATCCCATCGGTGTTCAACGACACGGAACTTTACAAAATTGTCTGGGGAATACCCAGTGAACGGGTCAGGTTTTAATGAACGTAGCGAGTTGCTCCAAAGACTAACTGTCACTCTATTTGTTCTCAGTGCTGTCATCGTGCAGTAATTATTCTTACTGTCCGTTCTGGTGTTACTGTAGGCTGTTACTGCCATTCTCAGCTCGTTCCAAGATCGATTTTTGAATCGTGCCAAAATTTCCGACAGGTTGGAGAACATCCTGGGGTATATGGAGGTCAACCCGCTGGTCACCATAGATTATCCGCAAGGTGTGGTGATGCATCTCGGCTGCTTTTGAGCCCCGAGGATCAGCAACACTTTCCTTGAACAACAAGCACAGCAGAAGCCTTGTGTTCGGCTGGTGAGGGCGAAAGCGGGATCGTGCATCGTTCGCATAGTTATCGCTCCTAAGGGGTGGTAGGAGCTGACGGTTTGGGACGGGGTTTGGGCTTGTGGGGTCAACTCGTGCAGGCCCTTACTTCAACACAAGTGCCGTAACATGCCGTAACCCAGACAAAAAGAGCACGGTCGATTCAGGTTGGTTGGGCTTTTCGAAGCACTGTTCGGGACTGAAGATGGACTACGCCTACGCACCTGGTGCACCATGGCTCTCAAACACCCCAAAATCTACTTGCTAGGGCTCAATTTTGGCGTGAACGGCGGGGCAGTTTTTGACAAACAGCATATGAGGCTCCAGCAGAGCAACAGGCTGTCGCCTTCTAGCTTCAGATGTGTCAACGGAAAAGTATTCTGGAAGTTGTGCGAAGCTTGATTGCCTGCTACCAACCGAAGTCTCGGGAAGTGGCCTTCACCCGCCCGACATGCCTTTGAGCGAAAAGCGTCCCAACACCCTCAGTAACTGGAACACTGCTTTCCTCCAAACCCTTCGAGCCCAGAAACTTTTTGAAGCCTCGCTTCCACCCCGATACTGTGGAAAGATCCAGGTCTCAAGCGAGGCTGGCCCCTGGCGTGGGCGCACAACCCCGATGTTTCATCCTGGACCCTCAGAATGCAGAGTTCGAAGTTGACTGTGCTTAGGGCTTAGTCACGTAGGGATCTAGAAGTCAGGAATTCAGGTTGAGTTTTGGTGTGCACGGCAGAAGGTAGCTTACGGTGTCGCTATGCAGACCTTCTCGTCTACATGATGCATGCTTGAGGGCTCAAATGCAGCTCTTTCAGCTACTAATCTTTCAGCTACTAAGACCCGGGTTTTGATTCATGCAACAGGGGATGCCTTCAGAAGCACTATCGCCTCGCTCAACTCACGAGCGTCATCCTTCGCCGGCCCTCAAGGCTTTACAGTTGAGGGGAAGGATTTCGGGTGTGTAGGATTCCGGTGCCCGAACCCAAGTCTGAGACACGGGTCGTCATTGAAGTTGTCAGATCAATAGGTAGGCTTGAGAGGATTTCGAGTATCGGCTTCGGCTTTAGGATCTGCATGAGGATGTGAATATGAGCGAGGCTCTAGTGGTTCGGGCTCAGAGTTTGGCCAGGCACTTCGTCGGGTTTTGGAACAGACACTGAGACTTCATGCATGTACTTCGACGGTGGCATTTGCCAAAAGGGTGTCGCACGGCCAAGGGTCCATACGCCCAAGCCCTGAATGGTGTGAGTTGGCGGTAGAGGAGCTTAAAGCTGAGTTGACAGCCTTTCGCGGAACCGCCCATCAATCTCTTCGCTGGCGTCTCCATGTTAGGATGCTCTTGTTGTGACAACGACCTCTGCTGCACTAGCCGAAAGGAACTGCGGCCCCGCCACGGTCAACTGCATGATGCCGAGTGCGAATTTCTCCGAGGGTATTCAGGCAGACACCACACATTGATTGCTCTTTCCATCAGTTTCAGGCCCAGGGTTTAGGATTTCGAGCTTAGGGTTTTGGGTCATATGAGGCGCTAGAGGGCTACATGAATCAACTCATGTCCGAAGACCATTCCCTTCTCGCGATTGGGCTGTTCGTGACGTGGTTCGGGAAGTGAAGTCAACAAGGTAGACCACAAGTGTCATGTTTGGGGGTTGTTCAGGGCTGTGGCGTGTCCAAGAGAAGCGATTCGGGTTGATTTCATGTTGACTTTTTTGCTTGAGCGTGGGAGCAGCAGCCGTGGTACCAAAGCAGTCAGCTCCGAAAGACTTATCCTGCATCTCACCCCTAACAACAAACCCCGAGACCCGGTAGTAGTCTCTCCACCCAAATTGACACTCTACAGCGCTGCATCCCCACCGTCAAACCTACAAGAACCCATTTCTGACTCCACCCGAGCCCTGAAAACCTGCTGGCCGCTGCAGAGGCGGCAAACCTGCGGCTGTTGGATCCAATAGTTCTCGAAGCCCTTCCCGAAGGCGTTTGTTGGGTTTGGGCTTGGGGGTTGCTTGTTCAGGCATTCAAGAGCATCATGGTGTATCATTGGGGTTGTACGTTTCATCATTGCTTGTCGGCCAATTTGCGGGGAAGCAAGGCGTGGCTTGGTGGCTTAGCATGGTGGGAAGAAACCCACAGCCCATACTTTGAGACATGTCAGTCAATCATGCAAACAAGCCCTGCAGCTCACAAGTTCAAGGCCTATAGGGATGCATCGCAACCGACATCTCTCCTGTAAACGTTTGGTCCAATTGATTCCCGTGCCATCTACCACCAGGAATGCTGGAGTGATGCTGAACACATGAAGTTGTAAACTCCACAAAAGCAAGAATTGATTTATGACACTGTGCTCGACATTCTTCACATCACATTCCGACCCATACACTGGCGCTGCCCTGTGGCCCGCGCATAAACCCATCTCCTCAATCCCCAAGCCCTGCATCCTTAGCCCCTTAAGCCCGGCAGACAAAAACAACGATCCCAACATAATCCTAGACCCTAAATCCTGGAAACGGGCCGTAAAAAATCTTAACTCTTGCAATGAAACCCAAAAGGCCCCACCCCAAAAAC